AGGGTCGAAATCATTGAATATCATAATTGGATGTGATTCTGATGAGGTTTGGACCGATTGGAGCGGTTATTGTTAGTGGGCCGATTTCCGTTCTTATGCGGACTTCACCTTTAATTGGTTATTCGAAACAAGGAATTTTATATGATCACAATGCACAAGTAAATTCTCTATTACAAGCAGAAACAGATACATTGAAACAACGAGTAGATGAATTATATGGTGGAAATATTTGTGACTATTATGATGATAAAAAACTTAAAGTTTAAGATTTAGTTTACCTGCAGTTTCTGGAACTAGTGGTTCAAGCATAGCATGTGAACCAAACAAAATTTTTGCTGTTTTAGGCTCACTAATTTGTAAATCTGAGCCAATTATGAGCTATCTACAGCAAAAACAATAAATAAGAAATATGACATCGTTCAAATTCATATAAACTACGGTATTTACACTACTTTTTGTTCTTTTTCAGTTGTATTTTCACTTTCCCTGCTCTCAACTTTAGAACGGTTCTCTTGTATGCGCCGTCACACGTTTTTCCTGAAAGCTATATGATGAATAATCGAAAACAAAAACCACGTGAAGTTGCCAAAAAAAAATTCCAACTTTATGCAGGTGTTATCGAAACCTTTTTCTTTATCTTGAAATGACTTTATTAATTATTTCTCTTTCACTTGTCCTTTAAGGATAAATCAGGTCATCCACCAATATTCTTGGTTACACTGGAATCACCACGTTTTCTTTCTTTTCTCTACACTCGGTACGTTGAAATATGCGTGAATTAACTATTGGCGTATCGATTGCTTCCTTGAGCGTTTGTTGCTTTCCTTTGAGAAACATATAAAACTGTGCAACAGATGCCTTAAGATATATTCATTAAAGCGGCACAAAAACGTCGGCACCATTTTTATTTCTCTTGAACCATTCGATTGTACAACTAAAACATTAGGCTTTAGTTTAAACTAGTTCGTTTAAGTAGACAAGTTAACAGCCCTCTTAAATGACATTTTTTAGCTAGTTAACATCGTTTTTTGACCATTTTTCGGCATTAAAATGTTGTGCTTTATTGATCGTTGGCCACAAAATTGTTTTAGAAAAAGACCTATGCTCTGTCGTGCCCTGACAAGTTTCCATGCCTTAGAGCCGAGGAAGAACAAAATTCTACGTTTTCTATGCATACTACAACGTGAGATATATAGTAGTGGTGTCAGTGGAAAAAAAGAGTGAATTGAACGTTCAATATCCAAAAATATTCGGAAGTAGTTTACATGGTTTTTGACTGAGTTATGAGCCTTTTGATTTTCCGTAAAAACAGCTGAAAATGGGTTATTTCACGTACATAGGTGTGCGATTTGCGCTGGTATTGTACAGTGTGAGTGAAAATTTTGAGAAAAAAACACGAATAAAATCTTTTCTCCGTTATTAAGTTATATAATGTTAACATTGGTGATTACGGGAAAAAAATTTTCCCGACTGTCAGTCACTTTGTACTCTTAAAATTTAGCTTTCTCTGAGCTAAATTTTACATAGCCACTGTACATTTCAGAATAAAAGGCAGTTGGATATTTTTCAAACAGCTTTTAAACGAAAAGACATACACGAGTGTGGCTTCCACAAGGGAAGTTGCGGGGCGTATTTTCGTAAGCAAAACAAATTTTGAAATCTTTACCGAAAGCAGGATTTTGAGAGGATCTTTAAAAGACCAGACTACTATCGGCGCCGAAATAAAATGAACTTCAATATTTTTTGAATAACTCGAGAATGGAATGAGCTAAACAGCTGCGGTTTTGAGATTATGAAGGACACCTCGGAGCATAATCTTATGTTAAAATAAGTCTTATCTGATAGGTCTATCACGGTGCACCTTTCGAAGCAAAAAGTCCGAATCTGTCATTCCGGAAATCCACATATTGAGATATTGCTCTAAATATATGTAGGTATAGAGCAGTCGCTCTCTAACCTGACGCAAGGCGGACACCTCCATCTACCATGATTCGGATTCTACAGGCGATCTCCGAAGACTTATCTATTGACCAAACTTGCGCTCTAGGAACCTCAAAAACACATGGTACATAGGCTATCGGGCACGCTGCTTACCGTGGCAGTGTTTTTTTGCTGTCTAAATTACAGAAACAGCACCAGATGAATTTTTCAGAAAATATGATTTTTCCACTGTGACCATACAAAAATAAAACCCTTACAGTCCCTTCATTTCTCAACCCAATTGCTTCAAATTTTCAGAATCAACTTAGTTTGAAGTGTTTCATCAGATCACAAGCATAAAAGTGCAGAAAACTAAATCATACCTTGAAGGGTTTTCCAGAAGACCGCTGAAGATCTTAAGATAAAATCTCACTATAATTTTAATTTTTTTTATTTGATTTATATCATCTGACAATGATTTAAATTAGGAAATACAATATTTCGTTCAAAATATGTTTCAAAATGACGAACATTTTCGTTGGTTGTTAACATGCCATTAATTTTATTCTCATCTTGTATCTCAATTAAATGTTCAAGAATTTTAGCTATCCGTATGTGAAAATCATCGTGATTCGAAAGAATAATTCCAAGTAGTTTGTAATCATTTTCAAAATGTGCCTTTATAAAATTACCACTATCATTCGATGTTATTAGTTCACTCATATAACTTTTAGAAAGATATTTTAAGTCGTACAACAAATAAATCGTGGATTGTATAAACATATTTAATAAACGATATGTTATTGGTTTCAAATGATTTGGTGTTTCATCCATTGGTGAATATTCCACTTGAGTTTTATTATGGTATCCGAATTCAGTTTTTTTTCATATTCTAGGAAATATTGATCAATTTGTTCAAAGGCATTATTGATTGACAACTGAATTTGTGGTGAATCACGTTTAATTAGTTGATTTAATGCTGTTACACCAATGTCTAAACCACATAGTTGACATTTTGATCGATCATTAGCCATTCCACAATTTTCAAAATAATACATATAAGAACAGTTTTTTGAACATTGATAAATAAATTTACCTTGTTCACTTATTTTCTTTCCATCTAATCGTTCTTGGACACTCTTTTTAACATGTTCCATTTGTTTAACAATGGGATCCATTCTATATAATCCCAATAAACATGTTGATTGTAAATGCTTCAAATATTTATTCGGCATGTTTCTTGTTTTAACATCAAATAATAAACAATTTAAATATGTTACATTTTTTG